TTCCCCTCCCCTTCCCCTCTTTTCCTCCTCTGAAAACATTCCCAGAATAAAGGGATTTTTTTTTTCTTTCCCCAATTCCAGCCTCCTCCCCACTTCCCGCCGACCTCTGTTGGCAAAATCAAACGGAATCGATTTTTCCACAGGGCTCCCGATTTCCCGGAGTCATTTTCCCTCGCCCTTTGATGTGTGACGATCCAAGGTGTCCCCTCAGCTGCACAAACTCCTCATCCATAAAATCCACGGCATTCCCACGCTGGGATTTACATAACGGGGACACTGGAGGCATCAAAAGGAATTGGAGATGAGGTTTAGGAGCAATTACAGATCCCGTGGAAAGGAGGGAGCGGGAAGGGGGGACGTGGCAAACACTGGGATGTTCTCAACTCTCTCGGTAGATTTCTCCTGTTTTACCCCAAAATTCCAGCTCCAGACACCCCAAAATGTCCCAGTTTTCCTTGGGAGTGGCAGCAGATGTGCAGGGACACATCTGGAAGGAGCATCCTGGAAGAATTCCTGGAATGTCACCAACCTGGCACAGCTCCAAAGAGGGGACAGGACACAGGGTGGTTCTTCCCGAGGGGATTTGCAGCTGGAAACAGCTGGAAGTGCCTGGGATGCTCCAGTGCTCCAGGAAGGGAATGAGGTGATGTTTAATCCCAGAAATCAGAGGATCACTCCATCAAACTCCTCTGGAATTTGGGAAACGGGTTTGGAAAGCGTTCCCAGCATCCAGCACCAGGGCCTGATCCAAATCCATCCACACACCCAAATTATTCCCAACAAAGCCTGGATTCCATGGGCCAGATCCCACATTGGAAATCCAGGACAGATTTGGGATCACAGGATCCCTGAGAGGGAAAATTCCCCATAAACCATCCTGAATTCCCTGTTTTTTGCTGCTCCAGAGGTGGAGCTGAGCCCCAGGGCTGGAATTTTAGGATTTCTCCTCTAGGATCAGAATTCCTGGACTCCCACACTCCTCTTCCTCACACCCCAACCCTCTTCCCACCCTCAAGGCTTTCCCTCAGCCTAAACAAACCCGGGGATAAATAATCCGAGGATTTGGAGATGCTCAATCGCCATGGCAACCCTGCAGGCCTCCTCCTCCTCTTCCTCCTCCTCCTCCTCCTCCTTTTCCAGCCAGGAGCATTCCCAACCTCCCACTGCCTGGCTGGGAACTGGGACAAACTGGGAGCAAAACCTGGTCCTGCCCAGTCTGAGCCTCATCAGACCCCCCAGGATTTGCCAAAGCTGCGGAAAAACATTTCAGTGCCCCCCCAAAAAAGCAGATCCCAGGATTTTTTCCCTTTTTTTTTTTTTTTTTTGGAAATTCCCATAATGAGCCATTCCCTGGTGAGCTGGGGCAGTGCCAGGATGGGAAGAGCAGAGCCAGGGAATGCGAGCGAGGAGAAATAAATGAATTTGGGGGTTTGTAAACAGAGTTTTGGCCTGGTTTAGTTGGGATTTATCCCTGTCCAGCCTCCAGCGAGGGTTTGTGAGGAGCCAGCAGGGCCTGGAACTCCGGGATCATGGGAAGGGCTGGGAAAAGGAGAGGGAGGGAGCTCCAAGAATGGGTTGGACTGGAAGGGGCCTAAAATTCCAGTTTTAGGATTTCCAACGATCCCATTCCATGGGCAGGGACATTTCCACCATGCCAGGTTTTTCCAGGCTGGCCTTGGACACGGGAAGGGGCCTAAAATTCCAATTTTAGGATTTCCAATGATCCCATTCCATAGGCAGGAACATTCCCACCATCCCAGGATTTTCCAGACTGGCCTTGGACAATCCCAGGGATGGATCAGCCCCGGATTCGCTGGGAATTCCGTCCCAGCCTCTCTCCAGGCAGGAATTCCTTCCCAAATCCCATCCGGTTTGTGACACTCAGGTGTGTCCCCACAGCCAGGAGGGAGGGACGAGGTGGCTCCCGTTGCCATGGGAACGGTGGCACCGCCAGCGCCGGCTCTGCCGCCCACCCGGAATGTCCCCAGTGGGAAAAATGTCCCCGAGCAGAGCCCCGGGGGAAGGGAGGGAAAACAGGGCTGGGGTGAGGGGATCCCTGGGGCGGTGACAACACCGTGATGGTGACAGTGACACCCCACTGTCCTCTGTGACAGTGACACCCCCGTGATGGTGACAGTGACACCCCACTGTCCTCTGTGACAGTGACACCCTCACGATGGTGACAGTGACACCCCACTGTCCTCTGTGACAGTGACACCCCCGTGATGGTGACAGTGGCACCTCATTGTCCTCTGTGACAGCGACACCCTCATGATGGTGACAGTGACACCCCACTGTCCTCTGTGACAGTGACATCCCCATGATGGTGACAGTGACACCACATTGTCCTCTGTGATGGTGACACCCGTGATGGTGACGGTGACACCCCTGTGATGGTGACAGTGAGACCACATTGTCCCCTGTGACAGTGACACCCCACTGTCCCCTGTAATGGTGACACCCCCGTGATGGTGACAGTGACACCCCACTGTCCTCTGTGACAGTGACATCCCCGTTATCCTCTGCAATGGATGTGACACCCGTGATGGTGACGGTGACACCTCATTGTCCCCTGTGACAGTGACACCCCTGTGATGGTGACAGTGACATCCTCATGATGGTGACAGTGACACCCCTCTGTCCTCTGTGACAGTGGCAGCCCACTGTCCCCTGCAATGGTGACACCCCCGTGATGGTGACAGTGACATCCCATTGTCCCCCATGATGGTGACAGTGACACCCAGCTGTCCCCTGCGACAGTGACACCCCCGTGATGGTGACAGTGATACCCCATTGTCCTCTGTGACAGTGACACCCTCATGATGGTGACAGTGACACCTCATTGTCCTCTGAAATGGTGACACCCCTGTGATGGTGACAGTGACACCCAGCTGTCCCCTGCAATGGTGACACCCCCGTGATGGTGACAGTGACACTCCCATGATGGTGACAGTGACATCCCACTGTTCCTTGTAATGGTGACACCCTTGTGATGGTGACATCCCGTGGCCCCTGTGACACTACACATTGTCCATTAAAAAATCCCCCACATTATCCATAAAAATCCCCATTTTATCCATAAAAAATCCCATGGTATCCATTAAAAATTCCCCCCCATTATCCATCAAAAATTCCCCCCCATTATCCATTAAAAACCCCCCAT